ATTCTTATTGTATTTGGATATAATAAGTTTTTGAAAATTTTTAATTTTAATTTAGATAATTAGATCGTTTAAGAGTGTGGTAGGGTTGTTAGTGCGAGATGTTATAAAACTAGGTTATAATTATAAGAAATAGCTTTTATACCAACGAATTTTATCTTCTTTTTAAATATTTTTAAAACAAAATGTTAAAGATCAGAATTAAGAAATATAAATGCGTGGTTAATAATTACAAACTTGTGCATTTTAAAATACATTTTCTTGAAAATAGTATAAACAAATATAGAGAGAAGATTAATGTTTGTTTTTGTCTTAGCACACTTTTTATTACAATTTTAATATAGCATAACTACTTAATTACAATGCATAAATTGTTCATTTATGCACAATTCTATAAAAGAAATTGCGAACTGCTTGTTATATAACAATAGAATTTCTTTAGTTCTAAATTTAGTTAAATTTGGCAAGAATCACAGATTTAAAAATATCATTCGATTCGTGATAGTAATTTAATTTGTATTATAAAACAATTCGATCAACATTTTTGGAAAGAAAGTTAGAATTTAAGAATATTATTCAATTCATAATAGTACTTTGAATTGTATTATGAATGATTGGTATAAGAAATCAAACAACATTTTTAGAAAGATTAAAAATTATATATTGCCCATTGTAATACTCTTGTAAGTATTGTTTATTAAGAACATAGCATATAAAAACCCTTTTTAAATGATTTTTAGATTTAAAATTTTTTTATATTATAATATTTTCTATATTTACAACTTAATGCTAGATAATATATAAATTTAGAAAATATGCAATAATATTTCTAATAAATAACACGGAAAATCTTGTTGCAATGTGCATTAATAGTTGTCTAAATAGTTAAGTATTGAATAATGATTTTTATAATGTGTAAATCTTATTAAGATATATTTATATATTTGCACTAACAAGATAAACTGCTAAGAATATAAAATAAGTGCTGCCAAGAAAAACCCTATAATTCTTATTATATGATAAATTACAGGTTTTCCCTTGGCAGCACTTAAATAATAACCGCCTAGAAAATAATAATTAATGTGGATTCTATATTTAAAAAATTAATATTTTAATTAAAATATCAAATTCCCTTTATTTAGATAAACTCACTGAATTCTTTTTGTTTGATAAATTCGTCAAATTCCTTTGTCTAGATAATTTATTGAATTTCTTTTGTTTGGATAAATTCGTCGAATTCCTTTTGTCTAGATAAATTTGTCAAATTCCCTTTGTCTAGTTAAACTTGTTAAATCTTTCATACTTTACCTTAATAGTATCCTTAACAAAGAAAAAAAAATTTTTAAATAATTAATATGTATAATTGCTTTAAAAAAAGGTTCTATATAAATGGTACCAACTTTTCCTTGATATGAATATTTTCATCTTGTCAAATACCATCTAGACATCCTAATAAAAACAATTCTAAAAAACAAAAAGCCAAATATGACTCTAATAAAAAAGCTAGTAAACTTGCTAAATACAATAAACAAAATGATTATTTTTTTGATGAAACAATTCGCGTTTCTCTTCCTGTTGAAGTAGATATAGCATTGATTTAAAAAATTTGATTATTGACTAAAAATGGATGGTTATTAGGGTTTGTTTATGGAAATGACTCCCGTTTTGGGTAAAATAAATAGAAGAGGATGAAATAAATATGTTAAATGGCATTTAAAAACTGTCAAGGGCACCTTCAACCCAATCTATGATATAAACAAACCTGATAAAAAAATCTGCTCCTTATATAGCACTCTCGATCATAATAAAATAAGACCGACCAAAGTTTTATCTAGTCATTTAGTTGCTTTAAATGAATCTAAAAAGCATGAAATATATGTTAATGCAGAGTATAATTATTCAGTAGAAACAACACAATGGCACTTTCTCGATTTATACTACTATCCAGAGCTCTCATGTGGTTCTTCAGAACTGCATCAGGCTTTGGTAAAAACACTAAAATAGGAAAGTTACGTTTGATTGTGTTATTAAGTATAAGGAAATATTTCTTGGTGCAAACACACTACTAGATAATGAAACAGATAATGAATATGAGTATTTTGGAAATGGAGAGGTGGTGTTCGACAATTATAAACAAGACCTAACACCTGATATAGTAATAATAGATTATAATGAGAGGTGGTAGTTGAAAAAAATAATAGTTTAACATAGCTGAAATAAATTTATATAAATTTAGCAATTTTCCCAATGTATAAATATACCAATATGTAATTACTATCCTTCTACAAAATAGAGTTTAATAAATTAAATTATTATTTGGCAATATTTCTTTAAAATAAATAATATCTTTGAAAATTACCCAAATTTTTATGTAGTATAATCATCTAGTAAAATCTTTATTAGCAGCTCAAAACTTGAAGTTGCAAAGATCGCATCGCTATCGTTATCTACTTGTACTACTTGTACAACTTAATCTATCATATGACTAAATTTGGTACCCATAAAAAAAATTTGATACCCATGAAAAAAGGTATTTTTCTAGTAAAACAAAAATTCTAGCGTTATTACTATGTGAAGACACCTTTCATTAAACATTTTTTGCTTATAGGGTTAAGCAATATTAAATATTATGCGAGGAATTAAAAGATATTTCTTATAGTCTTTACTATTAAAAATCGATTAAAAAATTTTTTACTATAAAAAATTTTGATTAGTGATCATCACTATATCATATGCACTATGTTTGTAATTAGACTGATGTTGTACACCCTAATGATTTGTGTACATCGGTTTCGTGTAACTTCACGTACATCAATTTTTTTTGGCCAATGATAATGCAGGTCTAGCACCCGAAATTTTCGGATTTTGGAGGCGCAGCAATTTTTATTGGCTAAAAAAATTTGATGTACGAGAAGTTACACGAAACCGATGTATGCAAGTCATTCCCCTTTTTTTTTTGTATAACCTAGCGACGCAATTTTTCAAAAAAATTATTCTATATTTTTCACAAATAATTTAGTGCCAGACAATGTGTGACTTTAATTTCTGAAATTGCTCATTGGCAAAAACATTGTTTTTGACCATTTGACCTATTTTTGTTGACCGACACTAAACCCCCGCCATTTGATCATCAAGGCACAAAGAGAAGAAACTATGATATCTTAAAATAAATAAATTTAAAATAAATCATGTCATTTATAATGCATTACAACTTATATGTTTAACTACCACAGAGCTCGTGTTTTACTGTCTCATTAATTATTTCTTGACTTTAGGATATTTATGATATAGAAGATAAGTTTTGACTACTCGTCCAAATAGTAGCCTTATTTCGCATACTAAAGGAAGAGGATGTCATTTTGGGCGGGATGTTGAGTTCAATTAGGTTACGAATAGAATTGTTATAATAATAGTATTGGAAAAGCATTTGCAGAGGTCCTTCGTACAAATACCACTCTAACTTCGTTAGATCTTTCTTTTAATCCAATTTTCTCTGACGAACTAGATGCATTAGCAGAGGTTCTATTTAAAAATACCGCTTTAGCCCTTGAATATTTATGATTCCTATGGCTATAAAGCTCAGATTAAATTGAAAAAAATCAGTCAAATAAATATTAAATCAAGAGAAATCAATATCAAAAACTCACAAATAGCGTTTATTGACTTATAAGGAAATTTTAATTTATAGTAATATTCAAAAATTTTAGCATGGTCCAATCGGTTCTTTTTTTCAGACCATTTTTTTACTACCTGAGATTAAAGAAATTTATTTTTAAAAAAAATGAACCAGAAAGACTATAGTTGGTGGTAGAATTACTGAATTACGGCATTACGGCATTCTACCATATGTTAGAATTAATTACGGCGTAACATCTGATTGCCGTAATTATGTGACGGTGCCAAAATTCAGAAAATCGACCAAAATTCCGGGTCGGTATATATCGGAACGTTTCGGTATTACTTCATACGACCTGT